TTTTATTAGATATAAATATAATATTATTTTTTGATATTTATGTATCACTTTCGTTCCTTTTTTTCTCTGTTTTCCTGTGGGTGGGATTCTCTTTTTTTTTTTGTTTTGTTTTAGATATTTATGTATCGCTTTTCATTTTTTTCTGTTTTTTCTGTTAATTTGTTCTTGTTCTGTCTCTCTCTCTCTTTATTGCATGTCTTCCTCTCCCTTTCTCCTCTTCTTTCCCTCCTCCCTCAACTCCCCTTATTTCCCTCCCCTCTACATTCCCCCGTCTATCTAATCTGTTTCTCTCCTCTCTCTCCCTCTGTCTATTTCTCCTCTTATTCTCCCTTTCTCTCTCCATCCTCTCCCTTTGTATTTTCCCTGCCCCCTCTCTCTGTTTTTCCCTTTCCTCCCCCACTTTGCTTCTCCCTTCGCTCTACGCTGTTTTCCCCTCCCTTTTCCCTCTCCCCGTCTTCCTGTCTGTTTTCGCCTCCCCCCCCCCCCTCTCTACCCGTTTTCCCTCCCTTCTCTCTCTCTGATCCCTCCCCTCCCCTCTCTTCCTCTATTTACTAATTTGCCCTCTCCCTCCCCCCTTCCTCTCTCTATCTACCTGTTTTCCTATCCTTCTCCCCTCTCTCTCCCACTCTCCCCTCTCTCCCTCTCTCTATCTCTTTTTCAATCGTCTTAAAACTATGATCTTGAGCATCTTGGCATCATCTTAATCATCGCTCGTCTCCAACATATACAAAAAAAATATGCCATCGTCATTCTTGACATTCTCTCTCTCTCTCTCAAAAAAAAAAAAAAAAAAAAAAAAAAAAAAATGGCGGGTTGATGACTCCTGAGGCGTGACAGAAAACGGGATTCACTTATAGGTGGGAAGGAGGTGGATGAGGGGGGGACTCGCGTATTATAGTAATTTCGTAATGTGCGGTGGGTGTTTTGATGTGTTTGCCGTTCCTGGAGAGGTAGAGAGAGCGGGAGAGGAAGTAGAGAGGTGGAATGCAGTTTGGACTAGTGAGAGCCGTAACGGTGAGCGCCCCTCCACCCCTCCCCTCTCCACCACACTCCCCAACACCCTCCACTTTTTTTTTAAGAGTCCTCCCTTAACACAAGAACCACCAGCTTCTCCCATGCCGGTTCAGCTGGGTTGGTCACGATGCTGTAGCGAGTTGCCGAGTTCATCTCCCTCTGATTCTTGCTTTTAATCGTCACTTTTATGTGCTTTCTTGTACGGTTTGTCTTTGTTGCTTTTTTGTTTTTGTTTTATTTCTGTTTTCTTATGTTGTTTTTGTCAAGTTTTTGCCTTTATGTGTTTTTCATTTATAATTGTTCTGTTTATTATGTCAGTATGTGTCTTTATGTTTGTTTTATTTTTTATTCTCTTCTAGCTTGTTTTTATTTATTTTTTTACTATTTCCTTATCTCCTTTTCCTTCTCTTTCTGCTCTTCGTCCATCTCATCATTGACTTATCTTCTTTATATGATCTCTTCTCATTCTCACGAGTATTCCAAAACTTCTCTCCCTCTCTCTATGACAGTGGAGGGAAGAGGGAGGGAAAGGGAGGGATGGGGAGGGAAGGTGGGGAGGGGGGAAGGAAGAGGGGAGGGAAGAAGGAGGGAAGGGAAGGTGGGGAGGGAAGGAGAGGAGAGGGAAGGGAGGGAGGGGAGGGGAAGTAGGAGGGGAGGGAGGGGAGGGAAGAAGGAGGGAAGGGAGGTGGGGGAAAGGGGAAGGAGAGGAAAAGAGAGGAAGGAGGGGGGAAGGAGAGGTAGGGAAGGGAAGTAGGGAGCCAGGAGGAGGGAGGCGAGGGAAGAGGGAGGGAAAAGGAAAGAAAGGTGGGAGGGAAGGAAGGGCAGCATAGGAGCGGGGTAGGAGGTAGGAGAGGGATGACATAGCAGAATGCATACCCGCGGGGCATTTCCGAAACACCAGCTGAGAGCACAGTGGGGGAAAAAAACGTGTCTCGGACGTGTGATGGAACAGATCTGTCGCTTCGGGTCATCGCCTTTGGGAGAAAGAGGGAGAAGCGGAGGGGGGTGAGGAAGTCAGGGTGATAAAAAGAGAGAGGGGGAGAGAGATAAACGAGAGATATGTATATATATATATATATATATATATATATATATATTATATATATATATATATATATATATATATATATATATATAGAGAGAGAGAGAGAGAGAGAGAGAGAGAGAGAGAAGAGAGAGAGAGAGAGAGAGAGAGAGAGAGAGAGAGAGAGAGAGAGAGAGAGAGAGAGAGAGAGAGAGAGAGAGAGAGAGAGAAGAGAGAGAGAGAGGAGAGAAGGGAGAAAGATGACAAATGACACTTAACAACTCCATTGCGTCATCAAAATCAAAAAAACACTTCCAAAATAGGAAACGCGATCTTTCTCCTTATGGATACTAATCAGATGTTTACAAGTGCACTCTAATAATTCAAATTATAAAACTCATTACACGAACGACGAGTATCATGTCTGAGGGAGGGGGGGGCGGAAGTGGGGGAGAGTGACATGTAGGAATGACGTGGAACTAAAAAACGAGAGGGAGAGGAGAGGGAGAGGAGAGGGAGGGAGAGGGAGAGGGAGAGGGAGAGGGAGAGGGAGAGGGAGAGGGAGAGAGAGGGAGAGAAGAGGGAGAGGAGAGAGAGAGAGAGAGGAGAGAGAGAGAGAGAGAGAGAGAGAGAGAGAGAGAGAGAGAGAGAGAGAGAGAGAGAGAGAGAGAGAGAGAGAGAGAGAGAGAGAGAGAGAGAGAAAGAGAGAGAGAACACCGACCTTGCGACCTTTTACTGAATGTCCGGGTTCTCTGGAGAGAATTGTGACCACGGAGATGAGGTCACTGCCGCTTGTCTGTTATTTTCCTGTTTGCTTGGGTATTTGTTGCTTTTTTTCACTTTTGCTTCCTTTTTGACGTCTCTTTCGCTCTCTCTTTCCCTCTCTTCCTCCCTCCCTAACCCCCCCTATATCTCTTTTTCTCTCTCTATCTGTCTCTGTCTCTCTCTCTCT